AGGGCTGCAAACACGGAAGCAAACTAGGAGCCAAGTCATAGCCATATAAGGAGTTGTTTTTTACAGAGAGCACTCGTCACGAGGAAGACAGAAGGCGGGAGCCCGCGCCATCTTAGGTCGCAGCCGCACCACGCGGCCCTGCCATTTTTGCTTTTGCAGCCGTCTTTGGTCGCGGCTCCCGCAGCTCTCCACATGGCTCCAGTGGTAGAGCACTGACTTTGAACAGAAAAGCTCTGGAACAGAGCTAGGCCCTGTGTTCAAGCTCCAGGATCAGTACAAAAAAGAAAGAAAAATGTCCCATATAGACCCTGCAATCACAGCATGCCACAAAGACTGGACAGTTCATAACTGAACAGCTAATGGATAAAGCCCACATACGAATCAGCCCAAGTACTTGTGGAAAATCGTATGACGTCATTTATAGCCTCAAAAGTACCCAAGTTTTCATGGCAAATTGAGTTGATCCAGGAAATCATATAATACTGAGCAAGTAGACTTTAGCCACTTAAGAGTGGTTGAGCATAGAATTCTTTCAGTACTTCAGAAAAATGCAACAAATTCCATAGAACATCCACAAGACTACCAAGGGGGCCACAATCCTGGGTGTAGGAGAGGACACAGAATGACTAGGTTGTGTGGTCCTTATTGTTCTTACCATCCGGTATAAAATTGCAATGAAGGTAATTACAATGAAGGATTGCATTTGCATTATTACAGTTTGGAAAATACGTAACACATGGGATCATTTTTATTTCTTTCCCTGGCTATCTTCTAACATCTTCATCCATGTGGAGGACCCTAAGAACTTCACAAGCCTTAATGTGGGAGTCTGTCTTCCTAAAGGATATTTTAGGCCTCTGCAGCAGCTCAGGACCCCCGCTCTGCCACAGGGAGGAAGAGTCAAAAGGCAATGCAAGCCGTGGCTTAGTTCTCATAGGTCAGGATAAAAGCTGTGTGCCACCAGGAACATGGCTGCTCGTGTATCTTGTGCAGTGGCAAGCACCCCACCTGTCTGTCCCTATTTCGATGTCATTATGCAAGCTAGAACTTCCCTCAGTCCTTGGATGCACCAGACAGGAAACTCTCCAAGAACTGCAAAGACCTTGGAAGCTGTGAGTAAGCCTTCTTTGATAACATCTCTGTGTTGTCTTGAGTAAGTCATTGGTTTCTGACACTGCACACTTGTACCCAACTGCCTGGAATAGTAAATGTTCCAGAGACAAAGCCTCCCACCACACGATGAGCCTGTGGCCTTCATGTGGGACGACCGAGTGGCCACTGAACATGCATTTTGTAGGACTATATTTTCAGGAATTCTTTTATAGCTCATTAAAATGGCATTTATTTGTT